CGCCTCTCCTGGATTGAAATGGATTATTCTGATTTCACTGCACACTGTGAGCTTCTCACAAAGTGTACATTAGAAGCTGCAACCAGTCAGATAGACCTCTGCCTCATTTCCTGGCTGGAGGACATCCAGCATCATCTAGCTTATTCCACCTTGGAATGACTATCCTTGGCCTGCCCCTTTCATTCAGTGAAGTTCAGTTCTTATAATCATGGAGGCGTAGCATGTGGGTGTTACCGGGAGCAATCTGTTACTTCCAAATTTTTCTGCCTAGGAACTCCCACTCCTCCACACTAACATCCACCCCCCGAAAGCATGTTATTTATTATAGTTCCTTCCAAGACCCAACCCACTGCTTGCATCAGGGCTGAGGCTGCTGGGAGTAGTACCCTGGAACGGTGCTTTCAGGAAGCTATGTAAAGCACCCTGCTGGCTCCTCCCATCAGCCATGGTCTGCTGCATTGCATAGAGAAGCACAGAAACCTCCCTCCTCCTACCACTCCATCCCCCACAGCCGTTTCCTCCTGTGCCTCTACCCCCCTCCCTCCTAGATTGTACGCTCGAAAGAGTAGGGCCCTCTAACCCCTCGTGTGCTGTTTGATGATACTGTTCTGTTTCATGTATTGTCCCCCCTCTATTGTACAGCGCTGAGCAAACCCTTTGGCGCTATATAAACTCGATAAATAAATAAATAAAACCTAGTGGAGTCACTGTACTGGGTCTAAAATAACATACCAATGGAAAGGTTTAATTTAAAAATGTCATTAGTGGGTTGCTAAGGGGAGAAAGGGGACCTGGGGAGGGGGAGGGGGAGGGGGGGTATAAGCAGATTAAAGTTCAGCTTTAGTTTATTGGGAGCATGGCTGCAGTTTACCCTCAGACATTTTTGAAGTGGTTCTCCTTACAGTTAGTTCCATAACCTTGCACTGAAATGAAAACCTGCAGATGGGACACTTATGAATGACCCCTAAAGCGAAAAAGACCAGCATGGGGGGCATTTAATATATCCGCACCTTTAGAGACTGCACAGCCCGTGTTACGTCCCCTCCGTAGTTGCGCAGCGCCTCGCGGCTCTCTTCTGTCGTCACTCCATGTACACACTCCTCCACCTGAACAACGGAAAACAATAGTAAGCAAATATACACCTACGTTCAGGGTGTGTGAAGTGTGATTGATCGATGGTTACCATGGATGTCTGAACTCTGAATTAGATCTTACAGAGAGCTGTACACCTGAATTCACTAAAAGTCTACAAGAAATCTGTATTCGCGGCTATTGTTACCGTATGAAACTTTGTATTGTGTGATCGGTAATGTTGAACAACCAGTTCTGTTTTGTTATAGCTACAAGTATTCCCAAAAAACAGGTCAACGGGAAGACAAAGGAAAGCTTCTCAAGCATCTCAGAAGCATTTCAGTTGAGTCCCTGATCTCCATCCAGGCACCTAGAAGAAAGCTGCATCTGACTTGTCTCTGAGTCTGGAGCATCAAGTTCACCCTCAAAGTGAAAACTTACACTCCATTGGACTCAAGCCAATCCAGAGGAAGACAAAAACCCTCAAAAACTAAGTTCAGTCTGCAACAACAGACTATCAAAACTCCTTCCAGACCTCTAATGGCAGTTTTCAGACACACATCATAATATATATGATAGTCAAGGTCTGTTTTATGTTGAGAAATCCTCCCTAAGTGACAGAGCTCTGAGCCTTGGGAAGGAGTTAAGTTAAAAGATCTGACACCACAATCTCCATCTTTAAACTACCATAAAGTGTACATCGCACTATGTTTTCGTCCAGCCAGATCTGATGGTCTTGGCCAAAAATGCACAAGGAGCCTTTGCACATACCAGCTACAGCCAGCCAGTGGCCTCCAGGACCGATGGAGGAGAAAGTTCTTGGGACATGACGGCAGATTAATTCAGATCACCATAAGTCTACATTGTAGTTTAAAACACATGGACCTCCCAGTCTCCTCACCTCTTTAATCCTCCTTTGAAGATCACCATCTGCAGTAATGGCTCTGTACCCTGCGGATTTACTTTCTGGCGGCAGACGAGACACCGGATGTGTCTCCCCTGGAACCATGACCGGAGAAGGTGGGAATTTATCTTTAGTGCGACTCATCTGCTGCAAGGGGTGATCCACTGTAGGAGGGGCGAGAAACCGATCCTTAGGAGCTGATACTTTTGGTTTGGGAGGAGGTAGGGGTCGGAGATTGGCAGGTATACGTCGCGGGGGAAGGTCACTCATTCTTCTTGGTGATGGCTCACGAGGTGGCGATGATATGCTCTCAAGATCTCGCCCGCGGTGCTTGGGTGTGTGGTGGCTTTGTGGCTTGCTGTTTATTAGGTCAAAGTCAGAGAGAGACTCCAAACTTCGAGACAGACCTGTAGGTGGAATACAGAGCAGGTGAGAGGAGAGAAACGAGGGGAGAATGGGAGAAAATAAGAACTGCAAAGTTATAGAAAGGGAGTGAAGGATGGAAAGGATGACAGTAAAGAGAGGATGGTTGTGGGCATTCAACAGACGTGTCTATTATTAACCCAACAAATGATTTAACTATAAAAGCAAAAGACGAAAAAGGGAATGAGGGAAGCAAAGGATGGAAGGAAGGGTGACAAGGAGAGAAAAGTGAAAGGATAAGGAAGATGGTTGCTACCAGGAGACACCTACGTTGCATACGAATCATCATCTCCTCTGCTTTGATACGACTAGCACCGGCACCTCCTGGTCTCCTTTGACCTTCTTTTACTCGTATTCTTTTGCTGAAAGAAACATAAGTTCATGAGTCTGTGATGGGAGGGGATATGTATTATTATCTCCTTGGTCCTGAGGCTTTGAGGCACTTACTTATTCTCTGCATCCACAAGAGATATCTTCCCAAGATTGGCTGACAAGTTCCCAGAGCTACGGGTGCGTGCCAAGTCCTCCGGAGATATGACAGCAGAGGGGAATGGTCCAATCCTAAGAGTCCGCTGGTTCTGTCCTCTCCAGGGCTGAGAGTCAGACCTAGGGGAAGAAAATCAGAGCCTTGTAATCTATCACTACCAAGTAGATGAGCCATTTTGTCTCAATCAGATAACAACGCCCCTGGGAGTCTGCCATCTCCAAGCTTACTAAACTGGAAGGAGGCCAAAGGACAAACCCAAAATAAGCTAGAGGGATTTTACTTGCAGGTAATGGACAGAATCTTTTGGGAAGAGCTGAAATAGGTGGGCAGAAAAATAGACGTTGGGGTTTATTAGCCTGCAGCCCTCATATCCGATGATGCATAACACATAATAAACGATGGATGAATGGTCAGCTTTTAAAATAAATAATAGAAGACTGGTCATGACTTCTAGACCAATGAATGACCAATAATGAACTGTTCTTGGCATCAGATGAATGATGAATTACAGGACATAAACAATGGATGATGAAGGTACATGGGAATGAGTTTTAATTCTTTCTTACCCAACATCAATGACAGTGACAACGTCCCCAGCATCCAGCGGCAGCCAGGAGGGATTGTTCACATCTTGGAGAACACGAACCTCTAGTGGTTTTACCTGAAGAAGAGATAAATTGTCCGTCAGGTGATGAACTGAGAACAGAGGTCAACTAAAAGGTGGGCTAGATGGAGAAATAGGAAATTTTGAACCTTAGAACCATAGACAGAAAAGTAGAAGAAATTTGCTGATATCTTCAGATATAAGCATGATTGGATTATTAAGATGTTCTAAAAGACTTTATTGGGGCACATCTCTGGAATTTATTGCAGGGGACAGGAATGCAGATAAACTATATGGCCAAACATTTTGGACAACTGGGCCAAAAACGCCTGCATGATCTTGATGGACATCCCATTTCAAAACCAAAAGGACAAATATGGAGTTCCCTCCATCTTTGCAGCCACAACAGCTCTTCTGGGAAGACTTTCAAACAAGATTTTGGAGGATGGGGATGGGAATCGGTGCCCATTTGTGAGGTGAGGTGCTGATGTTGGATGAGAAGACCTGTCTCACAATCAGTATTCAATTCATCCCAAAGGTGTTCAGTAGGGTTGAGGTCAGAGCCCTGTGCTAGACACTTTAGTTTTCCAGGACCTCAAACCTGCTAAACACCTTTTGGATGAGGTCTTCTCATCCATAGGGTGAGGGGCAGGAACTGATGTTGGATGCCTGGATAAAAATACCCTACACCAAAGGTCTTCCAGGGTTGAGGTCAGGGCTCTGTACAGGACACTGGAGTTCCTCCACACCAAACTCTCAAACCATGTCTATATGGAGCTGGCTTTGTATACAGGGGACAGTCATGCTGGAACAGAAAAGTGTCTTCACCAAACTGTTACCACAAAGTTGGAAGAGTACCATGGTCTACAATGTCTTTGTATGACGTAGTATTACCAGGACTCTTCACTGGAGACACCTGAACCCCATCATTTGGCCATAAAGTGTTTGAAGTGCATTGTAGCAGGGTGTAAGGATGATATTGGATACATATTTTACTTACATCTTGAAGGAGGCTGATGAGATTAGAGAAAGTTGGCCTCTGCTCAGGTTTGTGTGCCCAACACTTCATCATGATGTTGTATAAAGCAAGAGGACAATCATCTGGGCGTTCCAATCGCTCACCTTCTCGGTCAATCTTCATTAAGATCTGGAGACATACAATGTACAATGTTATACAATGTTCAGTTCTGTGAGACTTAGGGATGGATATTGACACTGAGACCCTATGAGAGCTCTAAGCTACCTGTCTCCCGGCCAGGCCCAACCAGGGCTCTTGTCCATAGGTGAACATTTCCCACATGGTGACCCCAAACATCCAGACATCTGATGGGTGTGAGAAGGTGCCAATCTTCAAGCTTTCTGGTGAACACCTGTCACAAAGAAGGCAAATAGTGGGTAGGTTAGTGTTTTAGGATTCTCAGATATCACCCACCATTAGTTCTAAAAAGCATCCACACCCTTCCACCACAGACCTAATCCACTACTACCCTATAATGTTCTAACTCCCATCCTTACCATGCAAAGGGTATCCTGCGGTGAGCAGACATGATGTAATGTTCATCGTTCGCCCTCAGTGCTCTTGTCAAGCCAAAATCACCGATCTTTACCATTTCTTCGTTCACCAGCAAGACATTCCGTGTTGCCAGGTCCCTATGGATGAACTTCTGGTTTTCAAGGTAGCTCATCCCTGAGGCAATCTGGATGCAGTATAACCACAAGAGCTGCAGAGGATATGCGCCATAGCGAGAACGCAGAGCATCATGTAGAGATCCGAGAGGTGCCAGCTCTGTGACCTGAAATGTAAGAAAGACATGAAAACTTAATTATCCAGATTCACACACCACACACCCAGCCCACTGCTGGAGGGAGGGCAAACTCAAGGCCCCCTTTTTGTCACCCTGCTGCAGGAGGGACCAACTCCTTTTTGTGTTGCCTTGCTGGAGAAGAAACAGAGGTCCATTTTGTGTTACCCTGCTGGAGGGGGGGACAGAGCCAGAGGCCCCTTTTGTGTTACCCTGCTGGAGGGGGGACAGAGCCAGAGGCCCCTTTTGTGTTAACTTGGTGTGGATGAAATGACCCAATTGAATAGAACTAAGCACTCACCATTTTCATTGGCTGGGTCAGAACCACTCCATAGAGACGAATGAGATGTGGGTGATCCAGGGAGTACATGGCATTCACTTCTTGAAGGAAATCCTGAAGAATTTCAGGGTCAGAGCTGGCATCTGTACGTAGGGTTTTCACTGCAACATTCACCTGGAAAGACAAAGAAGGTGAATGAGACCGCTAGAGAGTGGCAGGACATGACAGGGGGGCCGAGAGCTCAGGGAACCGGCAAAATAAAGTAAGGGGGTACTCACGGTCCTTCCACTGGGAATCCTCCACTCCCCTTTGCGGACCACTCCAAAGCAACCATCCCCCAGACGCTCCATCAGGTGCAGGTCTCGGTCATTGATCAGACACTTCAAGGAGCAGTCACTTTCCCCACGATGGGAGGAGGGTGACACAGAAAAGGGCATTGTCAAGGGGGATGAGATATTGATGTCCACATCTGGGGGTGATTCAGGGCTCTCGGAGCCTCTGTTTGCGAACATCTAAAAAGTAAAAAAAGAAGACAATAATTAGACCAGGCTCTGAATGTGAGTCATTCAGTACTTTGATTTCTCCAAGGATTTCCTGACAGTAGTTTGTGTCTCTGCCCCTCCCACAATGGTGAGATCAGTAATTTGTATCTTTGCCCCTTCCACAAGTGTGAGATTTCCTCCCGGAAGTTTGCATCTCTTCCCCTCCCACAATGGTGCGATTTCCTCCCGGTAGTTTGTGTCTGTGCCCTCCCACAATGAGGAGATTTCCTCCCAGCAGTTTGTGTTTCTGCCCCTCCCATAATCGTGAGATTTCCGCCCAGTAGTTTGTGTCTCTGCCCCTCCCAAAATGGTGAGGTTTCCCTGCAGTAGTTTGTGTCTCTGCCCCTCCCACAATGGTGAGGTTTCCCTGCAGTAGTTTGTGTCTCTGTCTCTCCCACAATGGGGAGATTTCCTCCCAGTAGTTTGTGTCTCTGCCCCTCCCACAATGGGGAGATTTCCTCCCAGTAGTTTGTGTCTCTGCCTCTCCCACAATGGGGAGATTTCCTCCCAGTAGTTTGTGTCTCTGCCCCTCCCACAATGGGGAGATTTCCTCCCAGTAGTTTGTGTCTCTGCCCCTCCCACAATGGGAAGAGAGAGTGCTCACCTTGTACATCCATGTTTTGGGGCGGATGGGTGGTTTCCTTCTCTTCAGAGCTTCAAGGAGTCTTCTCTGAGCTGAAAAAACGTAATGTGGAATGTCCAGGATGAGACACGGGGTACTGTAGCACCTCTAAATTCATTTAAAGTGACAGGTAACTTGGAGATCTTGCCCTAACTGGTAACTTGGAGATCTTTTCCTAACTGGTAACTTGGAGATCTTGCCCTAACTGGTAACTTGGAGATCTTGCCCTAACTGGTAACTTGGAGATCTTGCCCTAACTGGTAACTTGGAGATCTTGCCCTAACTGGTAACTTGGAGATCTTGCCCTAACTGGTAACTTGGAGATCTTGCCCTAACTGGTAACTTGGAGATCTTGCCCTAACTGGTAACTTGGAGATCTTGCCCTAACTGGTACCTTGGAGATCTTGCCTTAACTGGTAACTTGGAGATCTTGCCCTAACTGGTAACTTGGAGATCTTGTCCTAACTGGTAACTTGGAGATCTTGCCCTAACTGGTAACTTGGAGATCTTGCCCTAACTGGTAACTTGGAGATCTTGCCCTAACTGGTAACTTGGAGATCTTGCCCTAACTGGTAACTTGGAGATCTTGCCCTAACTGGTAACTTGGAGATCTTGCCCTAACTGGTAACTTGGAGATCTTGCCCTAACTGGTAACTTGGAGATCTTGTCCTAACTGGTAACTTGGAGATCTTGCCCTAACTGGTAACTTGGAGATCTTGCCCTAACTGGTAACTTGGAGATCTTGCCCTAACTGGTAACTTGGAGATCTTGTCCTAACTGGTAACTTGGAGATCTTGCCCTAACTGGTAACTTGGAGATCTTGCCCTAACTGGTAACTTGGAGATCTTGCCCTAACTGGTAACTTGGAGATCTTGCCCTAACTGGTAACTTGGAGATCTTGCCCTAACTGGTAACTTGGAGATCTTGCCCTAACTGGTAACTTGGAGATCTTGCCCTAACTGGTAACTTGGAGATCTTGCCCTAACTGGTAACTTGGAGATCTTGCCCTAACTGGTAACTTGGAGATCTTGCCCTAACTGGTGTCAGCAGATAAGATCCATGATGTGCCAGCAGTGTGACATAACTCTTTCCCCAGCTCCGAGAGACCCCAAATCTAATGCCCCAACAATGACCAGTATTCCACAATGCTACACTGACATCTCCTTGACCTGGGTAGAGGTGACAGCATTGCATTGTGGGAATTGGAGGGTCTAAGCTACAACTGCCGATATATTGTCATTGAAGAATCTCCAACAGAAGCCACCTTCTGTTCTGTAGGCACTAAGCACAACCATGGCAGAGCTGCTTGCTGGAACTCCTCAAACTGAGAGCCAAGTGGGAGGTGATGCCCTGCCAGATGGTGATAGGTGACTCTGTCCAGGTTCCATCCACCAAGGATTCGGCAACTATTGTTTAAAATTTCACATACTAGAACTTAAAGGCAAATCCCATAGAAGTCTATGGGGGGCTACAGGAGGGGTGCAAATTTTGCTGCTAAGTTTGGCAATTTGTTCATCAAAAGATGACATTTGTATAGTTTTGCCAATTTTTTTAAGCAATTTTGTTTCCACCTCTCGCCATCTTTTGTCTCCATCACTGGTGTTCTAACGTGATACATTGAGGGAAGACCAATGGAGGGAATTTAGACCATGAGAATGGAGATGACATCTTCCTGTGTGTGGCTGGGCAGTACGAGGTGATGACACATCCAATCCATCAATACCTCACTATAAGCCAAGCGGTGACCTCATTCCTGGAGGAAGCAGGTCATGTGGCACACGTTATTCACCCGGTACACGTGAGGACGTACAGTCACAACATGCAGAATAACAAACACACATGGGGGGACATTATGTAATGTACAGTATGAAGACAACTTTCCTAACCACAGTCCAACACCCATCCATGTTCCTGGAGAACCTATTATTGTTATGAGTCACCAGAGCCCAGGCACAGGGTGCAGCATGGGGACACCATGAACTCAGCTACCTGGGGCAGACATGATAATGTTTACTTCAGGGGGGGGTCAGGAACATTAGGGGCGTCCTACTGAATTATTGCTGGGGGTGCCATACTTCATACAACAGACTGCATGGGAACAGACCAGGAAATCAGTAAACAAGTGACAGAGTACTCTACATATGGCCGGCCAGTGACCAGGCTCCACATACAGTGCCGGGACAAGGTCATCTACAGCCAGGGCAAACACACTAAACTGTGCCCCCCCAAGATGTATGAGCATTATGTGTCAGCAAAAATCCCCCCCCTCCAAAAAAAATCTAGATCTAATTTGCATGCTTAACCCCTAAGCATAAATTCCCTACTCCCAGTACAAATCCCCCCCCCCCCCCCCTGGGAGCACAAATGCCCACTCCCCCTCAAAAAAAAAAAAAACCCTTCTAGCAAAAATCCGCTCTACCATATTACTTTTCTAGCACAAAACTCTCAAATCCCAACTTCTAGCACAAAACCTTTTCCTCCATCCTAACGCAAATCCCCCAAACCACCACTCCTAGCACACCTCCCCAAATTTCCCCTCCTAGAACAATTTTTACTCCCTGCCCTCCCCCTAAATTTCCCCTCCCAACTCAGTGCCCAGGGCCGCTTCCTCTCCTGCCCACCCCTTGCCCTGTGCACATATGGCCAGCCAGTGACCATACTCTACATATGACCGGCCAGTGACCGTGCTCCACATTTGGACGGCCAGTGACCGTGCTCTACATATGACTGGCCAGTGACCATGCTCCACACATGGTCGGCCAGTGACCGTGCTCTACATATGACCCGCCAGTGACCGTGCTCCACACATGGTCGGCCAGTGACCGTGCTCTACATATGACCGGCCAGTGACCGTGCTCCACATTTGGATGGCCAGTGACCGTGCTCTACATATGACTGGCCAGTGACCATGCTCCACACATGGTCGGCCAGTGACCGTGCTCTACATATGACCGGCCAGTGACCGTGCTCCACACATGGTCGGCCAGTGACCGTGCTCTACATATGACCCGCCAGTGACCGTGCTCCACACATGGTCGGCCAGTGACCGTGCTCTACACATGACCGGCCAGTGACCGTGCTCCACAACATGGCCAGCCAGGGACCGTGCTCCACACATGGCCGGCCAGGGACCGTGCTCCACACATGGCCGGCCAGGGACCGTGCTCCACACATGGCCGGCCAGTGACCGTGCTGCACATATGGTCGGCCAGTGACCGTGCTGCACATATGGTCGGCCAGTGACCGTGCTGCACATATGGTCGGCCAGTGACCGTGCTGCACATATGGTCGGCCAGTGACCGTGCTGCACATATGGTCGGCCAGTGACCGTGCTGCACATATGGTGGTCGGCCAGTGACCGTGATCCACACATGGTCGGACAGTGACCGTGCTCCACACATGGCCGGAAAGTGACCGTGTTCCACATATGGCGGGCCAG